TCCGAAATTGTGTAAATGTGCGTTCGTAGCGCTAGGAGTTAGTTTGCGCTGCATATGATGGAGTGAGTGAAGAGATCAAAGAGAGAGCAGACAAACAGGACATAGGCGTGACGCAAAACCCTAGCAACGTGGACCCTCAACAGCAATTTCGGCCTATTGGGATTCAGACAAACGTAAATGATCAGCTCAAATTCATAGTTGGGATAAGAAAAGAAAATTAAGAAAATAGGGAAGGTATATTGTGCAAGGCTTCTTCTTTTGATATCTTCTCTAATTTATGGACGAAATAATGAAGAGAACTTTATTACAGTTTCTGCGAATGTTTGGCTTTTTTAGTTATCGTTTTCCTTTTGAGTTATTGGGTTTATTTGATCAACAGTAATCAAAGTGTGTCAGTAATATCGGTGCTCCGAAAGGTTTGCTCCGGAGAAATAGTTTTTCTTATATTATTGCGTAAGTGATTTCCTCACACCCATAATCTTTGTAAATATCTGAGTTTTGAACGGCCAAACAACATGTTGTTTTCAGCAGCGCATTCTGGATGCTTTGGAGATGCAGCATCAAGGTTGGTAAATACATTTGTTCATGTTTTTCCAGAATCGTTTCTTGGTTCAGCTGAAGCCGAAAATGCAGCAGTACGAGGCGTGAAGATAAGGCCACAGTTCCAAAGCGGACAACTATCAGCAATCGGTAACGCGTCCGCAGGAAGCGGTATCCGACGACCAACGAATCGCCTACACCCGCGTGCTGATACTTCACCGTTTGGATCCAACTCCCCTTCGAGTAAGCTCTCGTTTTTCTGGGCAGGCTTACTCACATTTTCCATCCTAGGTACGTGCTCGTCTCCTCCTGCAAATCAGCTTCATGCTGGTCAGCTTTTACCCCCTACGTTACCGCTCACCCCACCGCAAAGTGCTCCTCCTCAAAAGGTTCTTGAGAATTGACACGCTTGTTCGTTCATGTTTTTGCTGTCTTTCCTATATTTTTATTTGCAGTTTTCGCCCGGTTTCTTCAGAGGAAGGAGCCGTTCTCCTGGTGAACGTCTGGAACCGCAGCGGACTCGAGCTCTTGCAAACAAAATAGCACATGAAGATTGGGAGGCAAGTGGAACGTTTCCTAGCTAGAGTTCTTTCCACCGCTTCGACGCAATGCAGATCTACTCATCAAAAGCACTTCATAGCTGATGACTGTAGCGTCTATGTGAACGACTGTTTGCATTGTATGAAACTCTCAGTGACTCACGTTTAGAATGTTAAGTGCAAATTGTAGGATATTATGTAATATGCACTTGCTGAGCAGCTGGCGCTAGTTGGGGCTTCAATATGAAAATCATTCTGAGAATTTCAAAGATTAGGTGTTCTATAGAAAGGTCTATTTTGATTCTAATTTATTTTCTGTAGAAGGAAGCTGACTCAAAAGTTGTGGTTGTCAGGCCACAACCTTAGTTTCAAATCATATAGTCCCTTCAATACACGATGCAGTTAGGGTCTTTCTAATTCGAAAAAGAATATTACACATTTGGAATCCTATTGATGTGTTGCAATGTATACATCCTCCCGTAGCTTCTAATATTGATAACTTCTTCAGATAGATGAGAAGCAAATAACCTTGCAATGTAAGGTGGGATCAGGCTCTTTTGGAACTGTATATCGCGGTGAATACTTTGGTCTCGTGGCTGTGAAGAAGCTCAATGTTGGCGAGCCAACTTTGCAACAACTGCAAGCATTCAAGAATGAGGTTTGCTGCAATGAACATTTTTTTCTTTTCGCGCTAGACTGCCTTGAACTATTCGTCTTCGTCTACTTAAGTATATATTTTTTAGGTTGCCGTACTGAAGAAAACTCGTCATCTAAACGTTCTGCTGTTCATGGGATGGGTGCGTGAACCTTCTTTGGCCATAGTAACGCAGTGGTGCGAGGGCAGCAGTCTGTATAAACACATACATGTTGTTGGTATGTTCCTTTTTCTACGTATTCATTTTCATTTCGTCCCGTACTGAACTTGCACATTCAGAGCCGCGCGTGGAGTTCGAAATGAGCACTATTCTTGACATCTTCAAACAGATTTCTCTGGGAATGAATTATCTACATTCTAAAAACATCATACATAGGTGTGTTGCTCGTCCAGACTTCTCAGGTTTTTTT